CTTTAATGGGAATCTGTCCCCAGCAAGAGGTTTACTTTAAGCTTAATTAGACCATAAATAAATAAAATTTATTTTGTTTCCACTATACATCATTTGCACTTACTAGAAAAAAATGAAAGATTTTCCACAAGTCCCCTATTCTTTCTTTTTTTTCTTTTTTTTATTATGTTATGTTAGTCACCATACAGTACATCATTAGGTTTTGATGTAGTGCTCCATGATTCACTGTTTGCGTACAACACCCAGTGCTCCATGCAATATGTGCCCTCCTAAATACCCATCACCCGGCTAACCCATCCCCCCACACCCCTCCCCTCTACAACCCTCAGTTTGTTTCCTGGAGTCCATAGTCTTTCATGGTTCATCTCTCCCTCCGATTTCCCCCTTTCATTTTTCCCTTCTTTCTCCTAATGTCCTCCATGCTGTTCCTTACGTTCCACAAATAAGTGAAACCATATGATAAGTGACTTTCTCTGCTTGACTTATTTCACTTAGCATAATCTCCTCAGTCCCATCCATGTTGATGCAAAAGTTGGGTATTCATCCTTTCTGATGGCTGAGTAATATTCCATTGTATATATGGCCCACATCTTCTTTATCCATTCATCTGTTGAAGGGCATCTCGGCTCTTTCCACACTTTGGCTTTTGTGGACATTGCTGCTATGAACATGGGGGTGCATATGGCCCTTCTTTCCACTACATCTGTGTCTTTGGGGTAAATACCCAGTAGTGCAATTGCCGGGTCATAGGGTAGCTCTATTTTTAATTTTTGGAGGAACCTCCACACTGTTTTCCAAAGTGGCTGTACCAACTTACATCCCAACCAACAGTGTGAGAGGGTTTCCCTTTCTCCACAACCTCTCCAAAGTTTGTTGTTTCTTGCCTTGTCCATCTTTGCCATTCTAACTGGTGTGAGGTGGTATCTCAGTGTGGTTTTGATTTGAATTCCCTGATGGCTAATGACCTTATTCTTCCTTTGATGTCATAGGGGAATTTTAAATGGTTTAATGATCACATCAAAAAATGGATGGGACCACTACACTAAATACTACCCATCTCCAAAAAGTATTCTAAAACTCAGAAGGTTTTAGTGGGGGTCAAGTATACTCAGTGTTGAAGCGGTGATAGAAATTACTGAGGTAGCACTTAGGTCTGTCTGCTCTCCCAGCAGCCTGATTGTATTTATTGGAGGATTCCCCTTGTCCCATCATGTTTCTTCAAAAACATGTGGGTGGACAAGGGACAGTGCTTTAGGGTAACCCTTTTCTTAAGGATGTCTTTTACCTTAGCTTTTTTTTCTTTAAATTCAATTAGCCAACATATCGTACATCATTAGTTTTTGATGTAGTGTTCAATGATTCATTAGTTGCATATAACACCCAGTGCTCATCACATCACGTGCCCTCCTTAATGCCCATCATCCAGTTACCCCATCCCCCCACCCACCTCCCTTTCCATAACCCTCAGTTTGATTCCCGGAGTCAAGAGTCTCATGGTTGGGCTCCATCTCTGATTTCTTCCCATTCAGTTTGCCCTCCCCTCCCCTATAATCCTCTGCACTAACCCTTTATATTCATGATCTCACACAGCCCTAATATTGCTTCCACTACCAGTTAAATTCAGATTCTTGGGACCCACCCCATATGCTCCACATTCAGCATTCCGGGGGATGGAAACCAAGAATCTGCATTTTGAACAAGCTCTCCCAGGTGATTCTTACCCACAGCTAAGCATGAGAACCATGTACTAAGGACAGAACTGGGGCCCACCATGTAAGACTGGCTCCATCCACAGCTGAGCAGTACGGAATGTGGGAAGGGGCAGTGGAGCTGAACCAGGGGTGATCCAGACATCTGGGTTCTTTCTATGCCATCATGTTGTTTATGGCCAATGCCATTCAGAGACGATGGTTTCTGAAGACATGACCGGAGAAAAGAAAGAGGTACGGAGAGGTGCCTGCTCCCTGCTGTGAGCAGCCCAGCACCACACTATACCTCTCCAGGCCTGATTCACACTTAGACGTGCACACCTGGTGACACATGTGATCCCAGGAGGCAGAGGTTCCAGAAGCTTTACTACAGCAGGCTTCATCCCAAGGGGCTCTTAGCTGAGACTGTTCACACCACAGGGGCTTCATCATAATAAGTCTATCCAGTGGAAGTTTCCAGAACACTCACCCCCAAAATCTTCCATACTTTCTAAAACATTTCTCATCAAAACCAGAAAAACCCTGCAAGAAGAAACAAAACATATTACTAATCTAAACCTCCTGAGCCCCATCTCCTACAGGGACGAGAAGGACTCAGATCACATGAAATGCAGCTTACTATCTCACTGGCACTCAGAGGGAAGCTCTTATGCACAGGTGTCTTACTGGAAAGGAGAGAAAACAAGAGGATATTGAAATGGAGAAATTCAAGTCCCTCTTGAATCCTCTCCAAGTATTGCAGATACTGAACAACTTACCCTGTCTGTGAGGACTACAGGACCTCTGAAATTCTGGCCTGTTTGGCTTGTGCCTGTGTTGTCTCTAAATCTCAGAGTCCTCTGAATTATTACCTCAGGGCCCTTGGGAAAACTGGAGCTAAGGGAAAGTCAGTGTGGCCTGCGCCCTCTGAACCCCCAGTCAGCATCCTGTTCATTGATCTCAGGAGGCCTACTAGAATTCCAGGGGATTAAGGAAATTAAGACACCAGTGACCTCTTTTAGTCTAGCAGATTTACAGAAGTCTAAGACATGTTTGTTGAGTGAGTAAGTGAGAGATGAGTGAAGGAATGACAAGGTGGACTCGCCTTCCAGTCATCCAGCAAACACAGGAAGAAGAGACCATGCCACCACTCCACAAAGGGCAGAACAAATTAAAATACTTGAAATGAGTTTTCACTTAAGAAAAGAACAACAAAACTTCCTGTCCCTAAGTTTTAGCTGTGACTTTGATGTTCTAACTGTGCAGAACAGGGTCCCAGAAATGTGGATCTTGGGGTGCTGGTACTAAGGAGTTGATCTGGGAAAAGAGGAAAGGAAATTATTGCTTTTCTGGAGAGAAAAAGTCCGGGAAGTTCTCAGGTGGTAACTGGGCACCGAGAGTCTCAGCAGGGAGAAGTGGGATCTGAGAAACAAGCCTCAGGTCTGGGGGAAAGGGACTCCACAGCAGAGAGCAGCCTGCACGTGAGACTCTGCCTGCTGGCCTTCTGATGTGAGCTCCTAACCTTCTGGCCCAGGGGGGCCTCAGACAAGCCATCAGAGCTGGATGAGCCACACATCAGTCTGTGTGTCTGCTAATACATTCCACTCAGCACATTAACTTCTTAATAATGTTTGTCAAAGCATCTCTTTTCTAGTGATTTTGCATGGGCAGTAGTACCTTATGTGAAGAACAATATACATATAAACACAACTTGATCAAAGATTAAAACCTGAAGTCAATAGAAAGCACCATCTCCCCTCAGCAAAACTCCCTCCCTGCTCAACTCACCCAGAAGGTGCCTACAGTGAAGGTAGGGAAGTAAAGCAGAGAGCTCTGGGTCAACCTCTCAAATCCCAAGAGATGTCACCATTAGCAAAGGGCGAGTTAGAGCTTGGAAATAAAGGCAGGGGGTTGGCAATTTTTGAGAGAATTCAAGTATGTGCAAATTCCGTAAAGGTGAATTTGGAATGCCCAATAAACTGAAGTTCCAGAGCTATCCAGCAAAACAAAAGGCTACCCAGAGCCTGTACTATGAACAGAAAAGTCTGACTCTAGCATACACAGCTTAATGGACCACTAGCGTGGACCCCCTTGATGCTCTTCTCCTAATACCAAATACAATGATGCCTTCCTGTGAATCTGCACCTGCCAGAAACAAAAGCCTCTTCTCCATGCTCACAAGCTAGAACATCAAGTCCTGGGTTGAAGCAGCCAGAGAGCTGGGGCTGCCCACTGAGGCAAACCCTGAGGCTCCTGACAGCAGACACTAGAGCCCCAGGGTAGAACTGGCCATGTGCTGGGTGGGGCCTGTGACACCACTTGTGGGAAGTCTGAGCTTCCTAAGCACTTCTTCCTCAGGATGAGCATATCTACAATGAAACTAAGCTGGGACTGACAATCATAAGAAGCAAAAGAGGGAGCTCAGGCAACACTCACCTTACGGTAGGCCAGAGCAGTTCCCACAAAAGGCCAAGGTGTTGGCCCAGGAATTCCCAGCTTCTTAAAAAGTCCATGTGTGGAGGTCCCATATCTATAAAGTGAAGAGAAAGTTGGTCACAGGGATGGTGGAATAAGTGCTGAGGCTGGCAGTCACTGACACAGAACTGGGACAGGGAAGGGAGGGAAGTAACATGTAGGCCAGAAATAATAAGAGCAATTCCAACGACAATAATTACATTCCTTCATCATCTCCTTTCCCACCTCCACTGTGAGACCCACAAAACGTAATGATGATTAGCTAAGGGTAGCCGAAATCTTCACGGTCCCAATCCTAAAGTGAAGACTTGATAAGTGTTTCCACACGAGTGCTCCTAAAAGGGTCATGCTGATCTCTTCCAGGAAATCTACTCCTGCCATTTAGTAAATGACTCTTCCGTAACTTTCTCTAGGGAGAAAGAGAAAAAATTTCTGCTCCAATGATGAGATTTTGCTTAATTATATCCACTCAATAATAGAGGGTTTGTGAGAGCCTACCATGAAAGTGTGCTGCAGTTTGCTCAGAGACCTTTGTGGTTTTCCTTCCTTGTAGGACCTATCTCTGTGTGAGATCTGGTCCTTCTGAAATCTATGTTCGTTGAGACACCTTGAGCAACAACAGTGTTCTCATTTCTGTACAATGAAAACTGTGTCCAAGGCTCCACTGGCCTCACTGAAAAGTGAGATGCTTTCAGCTCCACCCAAGTCTCTGTTGTCAGGTACTCTGGTTCTCCTGAGCTGCAGAGAAGGGGGACTGACCCATATGTGCCCTAAACGATACCATATAAAAGAATCCGTAAGGAAACAATCCATTTCCAGACCATTCTTCCCCTCATGGCATCTGGTCCCTCAACCTGTGATACTCACCTGCTCAGCACACTGCCAGGTACACTCTTTTTTTTTTTTTTTTCAAGATGGTCACTCACAAAGCAGTTAGTTTACCAACTCTGTGCAACAACTGTCTCAGAAATCCATTACAGATGGTGCTCCCTATGGCAGGCTTGTCTACAATCATCTTTCATGGGTCATGTGCGGAATCCCACAACTGGGGTTCTGGATCCTTGCAAGCCTTCCACTTAGGTGTTGCTGACAGATCGCAGAGTGGAGGAAGAAGACAGGCTGAAGGAGGAAGCTGCCAGAAACCATTTTACCCATGAACTTGCTAGGCCTACAAGGCTAACCCCATAGAGGCAATTTAGGAAAGTATGGCGGGAACGGATGCTAGGTAGAAACGGCTCAACAAACCCTGCAGGTGTTTTCAGCTAACTGATAGGGGGCCTTCCAAAGTCCAGATACCTCGAGTCAACAGCAGAATACATGTTATGCAACATAAAATGAGTAATGATAAAATATTCCAAGATTGGGATTAAGACCTTATCTCCTCTTCTCTGGAGGTGAGCCTTTAAGATAGTACAGGTTCCAGATATTCTGTACAAATCCAGCAAATTGTATATTATGTAATCAAATAATCCTCCAAAGTTGCATAAAAGGACCTGGGTTTGAGGGACCAGCAGAGGTACCTCAGCCTGGCCCAGCTGGGTGTTTGGATCCTTTTTCCAGAACAGTGGACGCAGGAGTACCTACTGCCAGAAGCGGGGGTGGCCTAGTCCCACCTCCATTCTTTCCTTGCTATCACCAGCACAACATATCAATTCCTGTTTCTGAACATTCGACATGCTCCATGAACTCCCAAGTGAGGCCAAGCAACTGAGTGATGTGACCCAAGGAAAGATCTGGTCTAGTGTCTAAACTCACATGGCTCCATAAGAAGGCAGAGGGTGGGCTGGGTGAATTTTTCTGATTCTTTCCAGCTTCCCTCCTCTTGGTAGAGTCATGTTGCACTTGGTACAAAGGAAGGGGTTAAAATAAAGCCACTCATTTTTCTTGCCTTTACATTGCACTGGCATACAGAAGGCACTGTCTACACGTAATGACACCTGGCCACACCAGTGTTTTCTAAGTCTACAGGGTTGTTTGCCTGGTGGTGACAATATCCAGTGACAGCCCCACTGCAAGACAGACTACACACGGTGTGGCTTATAGGGTGGCCCTGTCCTCTGGCTTCTAGCAGATGAGATGCTAACCCTGCAGTCCCATGACAACTTTCTGTAGGAAAAGGATCAAGGAGTAGCTCTCAGAGGTCTGCTCTGAGGGAGGACTATTCTCCCACTCCATCCCCAAGTCCTACCTGGATGCCTCTCACATCAGTACTGGCTCACAGTCCCACTACTCACCTGTGCTGAGAGGTTAAAATAATCTGCAGGGCCCATGTATTTAAAAAATAGACAATCTGTGACATAAAAGTGTGTATGGGTACACCAAATTCATATTGCCAACATCACTCTAGAAGGCTGAGGTCATCTATGTACCTTTATAGTCACAAAAGCTGAACCAACAGCCCTGTTGTATCGTTCAGAAAGAACATGCTGGAAATAGTCTTATCTCAGTAGAAGACCTATTATTAAATAGAATGAAATTAAACCATATCAATTCATCTTAAATGTCATCACACAGAAAACGTGTTGCACGATACTTGGCATTCCTAACCTTTTTCTCAGAAAATGAAAATGAGGTCTCCATGTTTATGCTCATGTCCTCATGATTTCCTACACTTCAAGAAAGTGAAATTGAAACAGAGGTTAAATGTGACATGGAGGGTCTTTCCCTACCCACATTGTGAAACTAAGTCTTTCCCAACCTGTTCCGTGATATCAGAAATCCCACCACTGACAAGAATTCCTCTGCTAGACAGGTTGAGTCTTCCTATTGTACTGTAACATAAAGGCAAAAACACATTTAAAATCCAAATTGGCTTTCAGGGCTCTGTCTTTGTGGCTGCTGGAAGATTTCATATCATGGGTAAAGAAATCTCTATACTGGGGCGCCTGGGTGGCTCGGTCTTTAGGCGTCTGCCTTCGGCTTAGGTCATGATCCCAGGGTCCTGGGATCGAGCCCCGCATCA